CCCCAAAACCCCAAAACCCCAAAACCCCAAAACCCCTTCACGTTACTTGTTATAAAAAGTTTGGGGAAGAATTATAATAAAATGCAGAGACTATCTTACTTTAACCATTCGAAATCTCTTCCAGAGGCTGAAGCCTGTAAGTATCACTTCGTTAACTAAACCAGAAAAGGGAGACAGGTCTTAACTTTGTACCTATAGTTCAGATGTTGGCTCAATGTCAGAAGAGAAAGAGAACCCAGTCTCTCAAGGGAGAAAGTGTTGACAATTGCTCCTTATCCTTTATGATGCAAGATGAAACACCTTTTGCTACCAATACTGGAATTGACGACTCCAAAGCCTTGTTGTTTAAGGAGCTCACTTGCAATGTCATGCAATCCTCCCACGTAGTCAAGTGCTTACCTGAGGTTGATGAAGACCAACTAGAAAAGAAGAAAATTTGTCTGCCTAAAATAATGAATCCTGAAAAGCTTCAAGGGTCAACGATATCTGTAAGAGTAGTTCTTCCTGTCACTTATCTCATTGCAATTTTAGACCTCTGACAAATGGAAAACTATTATTTTCGACATGGACGAAACACTGCTACACAAGGTTGGGTCCCAAGATTCTAACCAGGAAGCAGATTTTTATGTTGATGTGCCAAAGGAAGATCACACTGGTTCATATAAGGTATGGTTCAACAGCTTTCATTAGAGAATCTTTATTCACCTACTATTATAGCTGGGATTTAACATAAGACCTTACGCAGTTGAATGTCTGAAGGAAGCTAACAAATACTTTGAAGAGGTTATTGTCTTTACTGCTGGCACTCGGAACTATGCCAATAGTATCTTAGACATTTTGGATCCGACCCAAAAATTTATCCAACACAGGCTTTACCGTGAGAACTGCATCGAGCTTGAGTGTAGTGGAGCTACCTTCTATGTCAAGGACTTAAGAATTCTTGAAGATAGGAAACTGAAGGATATGGTCATCGTCGACAACTCAGTGATCTCCTTCGCGTCCCAGATCGACAATGGTATCCCAATCCTACCATTCAAGGAGGACAAGAATGACTGAGAGTTCTTACAGCTGATGAAAATTATGAAAGATATTTCATTAGAGAAGGACTGTCGGAAGTTCATCCGGAACAAATTTAAAATTAGCGAAATAGTCAGCACCGATACAGACTCATACGCCCATCTGTATGATATGTCCGACTCCGATGAATCTACTGAGGAAGAACTTTTGGAATCCCTTCTACAGTGCACTAGAACATTAGGCATGTGCTCCAAAGGGAAAGAGCATAAGAAGAAAGTTAAGAAGGTTAAAAAGCGGGGAAGAAGAAGCATGAAAATCATCGAAAAAGTTCAAACTCTCAGCGGCCACATTGAAAAATACGTATATAACAGGAGCAATCCGATTATCGAAAGTGGTTGTAAACCTCTTTCTCCTGCTGTTGTGGATGGATCTTTTGAGGCTAATCCTAAGTTCCAGGAAGCTGAGGAGAAAAGTATCAGCCTTCTTTAAAAATACCCGTATTGTATCCTAAGGGATTAGTTACAAGTATGATTGTTTCATATTTCGGTTATCATGAGTTACTCTCATATAATCACTACTAATCCTAGACCTTATAAAATATTATTGCTTAAGGAATCAACTTAGAATTGTGATAAAGGGGTTTTGGGGTTTTGGGGTTTTGGGGTTTTGGGGTTTTGGGG